CTGCCGCTATGAGGCGCCGAGACCAGACCCTTCGAACTGTGCATTGTTGGTGAGACAGCATCACTAGCTTCAGGGGGGACGAGAGACCAGCCGGCCGCTATTCGGCCGCGGCTCTATGTATGTGTTGTCTACCTCCGAGTGGATAATGTCGCCAGGGCTTGCAATGATGTGAGGTCGAGAAAAGGTTGGATCGTTTGCGGGCGCGGCTGCAGCGACCCGATTCAGGGGGGCCAGGGTTGGAGAAGGGGGGGATCCAATGCGCAAGATTTAGTTATTCGAACAGGGGGATGCAATTAGATTGACCCTTAACCTATTGGTTTATCCGGGGTGGGTTCCACTGCAATCAGTGCTGCAGGCACAGAATCGGCAGCGCACCTGTAGGTAGTGGGGGTCGACGCTGCTGAGGAACGCTGATCTTCGGTGCGCGCCTTGCCGGCATTAGGGGCCTATACGAACAGTGGACACCCACTGGAAGGCCAGTGCCAAGCCAATATGTGCAAGCCAACAACGTTTTCTTTTCGAAGTCGATCCCCTCGTCGACTTTGTTCTCTTTTCATCACGGCATGATAGCCCAGCCCTGTCCCAGCCGCATCGCTCGTATCGCCCTTGATGGTGGCTGAGAACACATCTATCCCAAGTTGGGCTGACTCACGGCCAACCGGGATGAGAGCCAGCACAGGCTGATGATCTTTTCGCCATGTTGTCGTCCCAGGCTTTCCGCTGTGGTGACCAGTGGCTCTGGCCACCCTCGTGGCTTGACTATTGCTTCTTTTTTGGCGCCCAGCGCACGCTGAAGTATGCATAGAATCTTCAGCCGATTGAGACCAAGCTGAGGCCTCGGCCAGCGCTGCTCGGCCGATGCTACCTTGTCGCTTTGCACTGCTTCAGCCTGCCGCCCTGCCACGATCATGAGCCAGCATGGCGCCCTTCATCTCTTTGTTCGGCCCATGCTCTGCTAGGTTTATACATAGAACCGCGATCTATTGTTGCTTTTTCTAGGGACTCGGCCAGACCGACTCGGGCTCGTGTAGCAGACTGGTCTAACGAGAATCTCCATTGTCTTTAACCCGTCTTTTCGAAGTATTTTCTTGATGCAAATGCTCTGACCTTGGCCTCAAAGTTCTGAGTTACTAGGGTGGTACTTTTTTTCATCCTCGATCTCGTGGTCGCCCTTTTTTTGCTCTATTCATTGGTTTTGGGAGATACACCGCGAGTACTTATCATACAACCATGCGCGGCGACATAATTACCCTCGCTCTTGCGAGCCTGGCAGGACCCGTTTCTGGACAAGCCTTAGACACTGTCCTAACTGAGGGACGAGATACCTTGCAGAGTGCGCGCCTTGGCCGGCGGCAAGCCATGGACCGCAGGTTAGCAACCATCAAGTCGCATGCAGATGTCGACGAGACGGAGATCACCGCCACCTTAGAAAAGCGACAGGGTGCACGATGTGGTAAAGATTTTGGAACCTCGTGCGAAGCCGGTATGTGCTGTTCCAGCGCCGGGTAAGTACTGTCATCTTTCCTCCACGCGGTGCTGGCCCTAACGGATAGTCGTCAGATGGTGCGGTCAGGGATATCTTTACTGCTCAGCGCCGTCTTGTCAGATCGAATACGGACCGGCCTGCGATGCCAACATCCGACCCAGCGGTCCTGAGACGAAGAATGTCCCGCGGCCCAAAGTCGGCAGCGTACCATATGGCACATCGGTCCGTCGCTGCACGCGACCTGGTGATATCGCCCTAACATATGACGATGGGCCTTACATTTACACTGACGACCTGCTCGACAAGCTCAAGGTAGGTTGAGCGGCGACCTGCGATACATCATTTCAAACCCATGTCGCTTACCATTTCAAACTAGGCCTACAACGCCAAGGCGACGTTTTACGTGACAGGCAACAACTTGGGAAAGGGCAAAATCAATGACCCAAACACCGCGTGGCCAGGACTCCTTAGGGTGAGGCCACTTTCCGTGTCGTTGCAATAAGTTGCCATGCTGACGGATCACAGCGCATGGTTGCCGAGGGCCATCAGATCGCGAGCCATACCTGGTCCCACCAAACGCTGACGACACTCACCGAATCCAAATTCCGTAATCAGATGAACTACCTTGAGATCGCCCTGGCTGATCTGTTCGGCTACTTCCCGACGTATATGAGGTATGACCACTGTCGTTCTTGCGACCCTTACAACGCCTGACTAACAGA